ATAAGAGACTGGGCAGTGGGGACATTCCTTCTGGCTAAAGTACTGCTACAGTGTGGGCAGCAGAAGCGATGGGCCCGGTCGTGGCGTGCTAAATGTCTGTTCAGATGTTCTTTGCGCTGGTAAGTCGCGCGGCAGCCTGGATGAACACATGGGAAATGGGACTTGGCTGGTCGAGTATTTGCTTGAGATGGCATTGTTTGAACTTTCAGAAAAGTCGCACAGTCGTCAGCTTTCGGTGGTGAGTGGGATAGAAATGGAAGTGGCGGAAGTGACAAAGATTCTCCCCCCTTTCGATGTGGGATTGACTAAGCTCTACCAGTTGGCCGGCATCCCACTCGGTTCATCCCACCGGTTCCATCTATATCAAAATATGGAACCCGTGGGGGAGGAATGTATAAATGCCAGCCACCCGGTCTTCATTCTTAGCGCAGATTGGTCTCCAGGGTAGGCTCACTACAATGATTGACCCGCAGGCCCCTGACTCCGAACGCGCGTTGAACGAGGATGCGACGTTGACTCGCAGCTACACTGCTGATGCAGAGAGCTACACACACCAGACCACTGAGCCCACGATATCTAAGCTACCCAGTCTAGCCAACCTCCCGGAGTACGAGCTGGACTGGGAGCCGAATGACCCGGCCAATCCGCGCCTCTGGCCGATCTGGTACCGAGGCCTGACGGTGGTCACCATGAGCCTGGGTGCGACCGTGGTCAGCCTGTTCAGCACACTGTACACGTCTGGACTTCCCGGTCTGGAGAAAGAGTTTCACATTTCGAAGATCGTCGGCCTCCTCGGAGTCACAACCTACCTCTGCGGCATGGGCATCGGAACGATCGTGTTCGCGCCGCTGAGCGAGATCATCGGCCGGCGACCCGTGTACCTTTTCTCGATGGCCCTCTTCTTGATCCTCATCCTCCCGAGTGCGCTGGCCACGAACATCGAAGCCATTTTGATCAGCCGATTCTTTGGAGGCCTCTTCGGCAGCGCGATCATGGGGAACTCGCCCGCCTCAGTGAACGATGTGGTCTCCGACGAGCACCGCGCCATGGCTTTCGGCATCTGGTCCATCGGTCCGACAAACGGGCCCGTCTATGGACCAATAATTGGAGGCTTCGTGTTCGAACATCTGGGGTGGCGGTGGACGAACTGGCTAGTGCTGATTATCGGGGGTGCCATCCTGGCCTTGATGGCGTGCATCCGCGAAACCTACGCGCCGGTGATTCTGCGCCAGCGAGCAGCCAAGATGCGCCAACAGACTGGCGATCCCAAATGGTGGACGCGGTACGATGCCGGGGAGAGTCTGTCCGCCAGAGTGAAGGCGGGCTTTAGCCGGCCGTTCGTCATGCTTTTCACCGAGCCCATTTGGTAAGAGATTGCCCAGTCCAGCTCCTCGTCAACGCTTACTTACACTCGAAATCTCAGCATCTTCTGGGACGTCTACGTCGCGCTCATCTACGGCGTCCTCTACCTTTGCTTCGTGGCCTTCCCCATCGCCTTCCAGACTGAGCGGGGCTGGTCTCCGGGCATGGGCGGTCTGTCCTTCGTCGGAATCGGCGTCGGCGTGCTGTTGGCCATCGCATCCGAGCCGCTCTTCCGCAGGCTCATCAACCGGCATCGCAAAGATCCCGCCACTGGCCTTGTGCCCCCTGAGGCCATGGCCAGCGTGGTCTGCCTGGGAGCCACGCTGCTCGCCGTCGGCCAGCTGTGGTTCGCGTGGACGTGCACGCCCAACGTGCACTGGATCGTGCCCATCCTCTCCGGTGTCCCGTTCGGGGCGGGCAACGCGTGCGTGTTCATCTACGCCAGTAACTACTTAGCCCGCTCGTACGGGATCTACACGGCCTCGGCGCTGGCGGGCAACATGCTCACCCGCAGCATTATGGGAGCATGCCTGCCCCTGGCCGGGCCTTCCATGTATGCGACACTGGGGTTGAACTGGGCGAGCACTTTGCTGGGGCTGGTGGAGGCGGCGTGCATCTCCATCCCGGTGGTGTTTTACTTCTACGGGCATCGCATCCGGAAGGCCAGTCCCATGATCCAGGAGATGGAGAGGATGCAGGCCAGGGCGTGACACCGTCGCGTGGTGGTGATAGATATAGAATATTGTCTCGCGAATGATTTGCCGAGTAATGGAATGATATGGATATCAAGTGGATGTTACTATTCTGATGTACTGTCCCTCATGTGAAGAGTCCAGCCCTGTGCTAACCTCTTTCGGGTCGACATTGCCGCGGAAGTGTACAAGCCCTAAGCGCAATCCCCTCAGCCTTCACAACTGCAACATTCTGCGGAGAGAGATGAGAATCCAGTTGGTTGTATATTATTCGAATAAACTAGGAGTGGCAATGCATCACACTCGTCGGCATACAACCAGATTTAAAACCAGAGCGCAAAATGTAACTGCATATCACTGTGCTGTACTCCGGCGTGATGGTTCGCAGGTTGGCAGGCATATACCATGTAGCAATCAGTGTTCTGCGAATCCATCAGTTAGCAGGGTCTACTTGAGGTAGAGATATTTGGTGCATGAGGCAGGACGGTCAGGCTTCTTTAAACAGCTGTTCCTACACTGCAAATCAACGCGGTGATCTCAGGTGCTCAAAGCATAACTAGTACAGTATTGTGTCAGTGGTCAATTTCTTTCTTATTTACACTACCTTCATTTTAGCCAGTCTGAGCTTTCGCATCCTAATAAAAAGGCCATTTATATATAAGTTAAAATCCTCACCTACAACTTAGCAACCAATTCTGTGAGAACGGGTGCGGCCGATGTTTGTAATCTCCACCATTGTTCAACATCCTAATTCCTCCCAACTACCGGCATCCCACCTGCCGGCATTCCACCCGCCTGACGTAAAGGCTTCTTAGTCACTTGGAACTAATGACAAACCCTGCAGCATTGATAACCAACTCTAGGCTCCGGAGATCTTAAGCGGGATGCCGGGTAAGCAATCCACATAGCGGGCTCAACTTGACAAATCTGTCATGAACTTAAGATCAGCATTGAATTTGACCTCACGGTTCGAACTTATAAGTACCTCGATCGGACACACTCACTCGACTCTACCAGCATTGCCAAGTCCCTCGCATCCTGGGTAAACTCCAATTCTCTCTCTGTTTCCCTTCTCGAACAACAATGGCCCCCACCCTGAACATCACCCACATCGGCACCGCCACCGCCATCCTCGAGATCAACGGGGTCAACTTCCTCACCGACCCGTTCTTCTCGCCCGCCGGCACAGAGTTCCCATCCGGCCACATCGTGCTCCGCGTCGAAGACGACCCAGCGCTGCGCCTGGACCAGCTGCCCGTCATCGACGCTGTCCTCCTCAGCCACGAAGACCACGCTGACAACCTCGACCCGCCGGGCCGCCAGCTGCTCGACGCGCGCCCGGTCTTCACGACCGTCGACGGCGCGCGCAACCTCGCCCCGCGGCCCGCCGTGCACGGCATGGAGCCTTGGTCAACCATCACCACGCACATCGCCGGCCAACAGTTCACCATCATCGCCACGCCGACGCAGCACGTCCCCGGCGCCGAATGCACGGGGTTCCTCGTCACGGCCGAAAGCTTCGGCCGGGGACGCGACAACCTGCCCAACGCCATCTACTTCACCGGCGACACGGTCTACATCCCGGAGCTCGAGCAGATCGCGGCCCGGTACCACGTCTGCGCCGCGGTGATGAACCTGGGCAACGCGCACGTGTCGATGCCGGAGGACCCCGAGGGCCCCAAGCTGCAGATCACGATGGGTGGCAAGGACGGCGCGCGGCTGTTCCGCGCGCTGCGGGCCGATGTGCTGGTGCCGATGCACTACGAGTCGTGGGGCCATTTCACGCAGTTCGGGCAGGAGCTGCGAGAGGTGTTTGAGGCGGAGGGGATCAGTGAGAAGGTGCGCTGGTTGCGGGGCGGGGAGAAGGTGGCGGTGCTGTAGGCATTTTTATCGGTTGATGTATGTTTCGTGGCTACACCAGAATGGGTTTATAGACTAGTTGGGGATAGAAGGTACTTGGGATCTAGTTATGTTTGGTTTGAGATTTGTAGCTTGGTGGAATTTATATGCATGATACTTCCGGCCCTCTTCAGTGTTGCCGCACGATTGAGCTCTCCTTTGCATTTCTTCTGTCGCGACAAGTAGTAATCTGCAGGGTAAATCTCAAATTCCAGCTTCAAGGGTTGCCTGTCCATGCCATTGCACCAATCAAATCATATAATCGACAAAGATTGGCAATCCTCGGTATCAGGGTCTAGATCTTCACTGCATAGCCGCTCACTCAACATAACCCCACCGCACTGAGTCAGGGTCACATCTAGCCCTAACGGCTCATCGGACAGAGGAGATTGAAGGGTGCGTGATTATCGCAACAAGAACATTCCGTGTCTTGGTGTCATTTGCCTTGTTATCGCAAGAGTGGAGACAACCCCACAGTGGTTGTGGAACTGCTTGTTTCAAGTAGCGGTTCAGATATTGCCAAGTCATCGATAAGCGTCAATCTTTCGCCTGAGAAATATCTTCTGCGAGATTCTGAACTGGGCAGCACAGGCTTGACTTCCCAACCCGGCGAGCTCTAGACATTCACTTAACTGCAATCGTTAGGCATCTCAAGAAAAAGCCAGAGCTGTGTCGCTTGCTTTGAGATGGTCTTTCTCGGTCGAGCCGCGTGCTGAAAGCTCAGAGCCATATGATATGTCACCACTGCCATATCAGCTTGAGATAAGGCCCTCGCTGAATCTGCCGGGTCGAATCCAGGGTTCGCTCGGCGTATCATCGTAGCTCAAGAATGGTGGCAAAGAGGAAGATGCACTCCTCGAAGAGCCACAACTAATGCATAGGCTGCAACCAACAAGCAAGCAGCAAGCATGCAACCCACGACACCAGCACAGCCCCTTGCACTCTGCCTCCCCTTCCCACACCTCACAACACCTAGCATCACCGAACCCTCATTCCAGCGCTGCACAACCCACATATATCATTCCCATCCCAAACATGCTAATCAAATCACACAAACACCCCAGTCAATTTATCCAGCTCACCCTCACCCTCACCCTTTTCACATCTCCTCAAAACCACCAAAACCTCATACCCCGCCACCCCCACCTCCTCCCCCAGCTCTTCCCCGACCCAAAGCCCCTCATCAAAACACCCCACATAATCCCCCCAATCCGCCCGCGGCCCCAACCACACCACCATCCGCACCGCACCACCACCACCCTCAACCCCATCCAAATACCGCCTCACCAACGCAGGCTCCCGCGGATACACGAACATCCACGCGGCCGCGCGCGCCGCCCGCGGGAGGAGATCCCACGTCCCCTGCACGACATTCATATCCAACTCGTCGATGTACCGGTTCACGGCGACGCTCACCTCCACCCCTTCCACCGTCACGGTACCGTGGCGGAGCGTGATCAGCGCCTCCAGCAGGCCGGAGCCGCTGCCGATGGAGAGGGTGAAGCCCGGGTGGGCGGGCAGGATAGTCCCCAGGTAGGTGACTAGGGTGCTGGAGAGGGCCAGGCAGCAGGTGGGGTAGGCGTGGGGGGTTGGGGAGAGGTGGGCGGAGATTTGCGGGAGGTCCATTTTACATATAGAATTTTGCTCCTTGCTTGTCTGGGGCATGGGTTGTGCTTGTGGGTTTTGGGGAGTTAGGTGTGTACTGGATGTATGTACACCTAGGGTTGGGGAGGGAATTGTTGAGATAAAGTTGGGGGACCTATGGGCTTGTTTCGGATTCTGGTGGCGTTTTTCGAGAAAAGGAAGGGAGATTTGGGCTCAGCTGGGGTGGAATGTGGTGGCTCAGGGCTGTGGATTTGAGTTTCTGCGTTCAGTTGTTTAATTGCAGATTCGGTGTGGCGCGAGTGGTTTTTTGAGGACGACCGGGGCCGGGGATGGGATTATCCGGTGGGTGATGCCGGGGGTGGGTTATTTCCACTTGGTTTGGTGGTATTTCCACTTCCGGATTTTGCACTCAGGGTAGAGCTCCGGTGAAGTTCGGTAACGTGGAAAGTGAGCATGTAAAGATAGTATCGAGGGCAGGCAGAGCTCCAGAGCCCCGTGGCTACGTTGAGTGCTTCTACATTAGGATTTACATTAGTGTATGTGCGCCCAGAGTTCTTAAAAGATCACGTGAGACAGGAGTGCTAAATGAGCATCGTGTCTCTGCTATATCGCAATGACAATCGGGTTGACAAAGTTCGCTTTCCACGATCACTTCGATGCATGTTCTAGGAAACGGCAAGAAAGCAGTCATATATGCAAGTCATCATTGCTCAGCTCTATATACACAATCTTCTAAGTTACATCGCCTCACGGAATCTCCTCATACACCCGATCCGTCAACAAGGGCGGCTCCAGGAAATCCGAGGGCACCGTCTCTGGCAGCTGGTTCTTCTCCGCCCATTCGCGGATCTCCTCAAAATTCCGGCACTGGTGCTTCGTGTTGAAGTCCACAAAGGGCTCCGGGTGCTCCGGATGCACCCAGACTTGGCCGAGGACGCCGACGTCGAGACTGCACATGAGCTCCTGGCGGAGGACGTCGAGGCAGTGCGCTGCGGTTGTCAGTCCAGGGTCATTATGTTCAACGATGAGAGTTCACTTACAGACGTGGTGTCGAACAATGAAATCGTCGTTGGTGAAGGCACCGGTGCCGAGGTTGTGGTAGTAGTCGTAGTTGTAGTACAGAGATTGGCGGAGGAGGTTCTGTTCGAGTTAGCTCCACGGCCGTAACAGCAGTACATTCCCAGACATACCAGGCAGTGCAAATGATGAAAGCCCTCCACGTTGGCGGGATATCCCCCGCCATATTTCTCCCGGATCTTGACTTGGTCCTTCGCCAAGCCGGATTTCTGGGCATCCTCGACGGGGACCCTGATCGCTCGGACTGGGGTCGGGTCAGTATGTGGCTACATGCAGCAGGAGGGGGGTAATTATACAGTTGGCACCGAGGGACTCCCAGGCTGCGTCCACTTCTGGGCTCGCATCTTGCCGGAAGATATTTTGCTTCAGCAGGGAGCCGTTGAAGGGTTGTTGGTGGTACTTGAGGCCGACTTGGCCGATGACAGGTGCTGCGATCACCGTTAGCTGGGTACTGAATCCATCTCTCCACACGACACTGCATCTGGAGCATTTCCTGAACTTAACCCAGTGTGGATAGACTTACAGTACTGTGTGGTCCGCCGCGTGCACGACACGTCCAAGTCCCTCTGATTGTGTCCGAGGAAGACGCCCACCAAACACGACAGAACCGCAACAGCAACCACAAACAAAACTCGTAACCACCCTCCGAGAAACGGCTTGGAGGAAAATTTGTTCTGCGACCACTGAGTAGCCTCCTCGTCTATGAGGAGCCTCTCCCTGTCGGTGGAGGTGGAGCGCTCGGAAGAGGGCATTTTGTCCTCGAAGGAGCTGGTATCTCTGGGGAGGTTCATCGTGGAAACAGCCAATCTAGATTTAAAAGAGAAAGCCCAACAGTATGCAGAAAGAGAAAAGAATCTTCAGGAAAATGGGAGTAGATGTGAGAAAGACGATCAGGCGGGATGTTTATTCTTAGCCTTGAACCAGCCAAGTCGAATGGCCTGAGGTGTGGATATCAGCTTCTTTGGGGGTCTCCGTGACCCTCCGCTGCTAATAATATCTCATCTTAGACTTTCAACTGCCATCGATTGCCATCGATAGCCATCAATATGTGACTGACGGAGGTGTGACTTGGAAAGTAAGACATGGCCAGTGCATGGTGCCCCGTCGACGGGAAGGCCGCTCATTTGTTACAAGTGAGACATCCGCCGCTTAGCCGCATGTCTGTCTCATATTCGGTTGTTGCTGTGTTGCCCGCCTTACAGCCCAGCTCCGCATTCTTTCAACAGCAAAAGCCGAGAAAGCCCATCTGAGACATGACGCAAAGATGCCTTACTTTCCACTTGCCTCCAAATCCTGCTTCTAGCCTGTTGCATCTTAAGTTTGCTTGTCGACATCATTTACTAACCCTCCCCCCCCGCTTCGGACCATTTCCTCCGTCCGACCGAGGCAATGTCCACCTTCCCTCCTCCTCCCACCTGCAGAGAGGCTCATCTCTCGGCTTGCAGAATAATCTGAGTCAATTCTATATTGGTGCTCCACGGGACAGAGTGTGAGGCAAGCAACATGTAACCGGGACCTCTGATGGACCCCGTTTGCTCCTCATCATCTTCTGATTGGCATAGGCTGGGTTCTTGGGCTCTCTTCACACATCCATGCGATGGTACAATCCGAGACGTGGCCAATCAGTCTGTTTACTGACCTGTAGGTTGCCTTCCCCACGCCGGTCGATAGACTGCACTCTAGCAGACCGTCTGCTGTAACTGCTCCGGCTGCGGATGTTTCTTTCTCCTGCTGCTAATTATGGATCATCAGGACGATGAAAGAAATCTCGCAGACGCAGTTATAAATACAGCCTGCGATCCGGCCTTTGCCTTGCAGTTCCCCAACCACCCATCTGCAGTTGTCCTAGATCTCCTGTCCCTCTCCCCTCTTCAGTCTTGAGACGTCCACACACCATGCATTCTCTTTCCAAGAGCCTCCTGCTCGTCCTGGGCAGCAACATGCTGGGCGTGAGCGCCGCTCCGGTGGCCGAGGCCGCCACCTCGACCGCTACCACTGCTGCCACCACCACCACTGCCCCCGCTAACTATGGCAACTACGGCAACTACGGCGACTACGGTGCCTATGGCAGTTACCAGAACTACAAGCGTGCTGACGCGGATGAGGCTGCTGCTGCTTCTTCTTCAACCTCCTCGGCCGCCTCCACCACGACTGCCCCGGCCAACTACGGCAACTACGGCAACTATGGGGACTATGGCAGCTACGGTAACTACCAAAACTACAAGCGCGATGCCGATGCCTCCAGCGCTTCGACCACCACTACTGCCCCCGCCAATTATGGCAACTACGGTAACTACGGCGACTACGGCAGCTACGGCAACTACCAGAACTACAAGCGTGAGGACGAGTCGACTACCGCTGCTCCTGCCACCACCACCGCCCCCGCCAGCTATGGTAACTACGGTGACTACGGCAACTACGGAAACTACCAGAACTACAAGCGTGAGGACGAAGAGTCGACCACCTCTGCTGCTGCTGCTGCTGCCAGCACCACCACCGCGGCTCCGGCCAGCTACGGCGACTATGGGAACTACGGCACCTACGGCAACTACGGCTCGTACAAGCGCGACGAGCAGCCCGAGGAGGAGAAGGAGGAAGCCTCGACCACCGAGGCTGCCCCAACCACCACCGCGCCCGCTAGCTACGGCGACTATGGCAACTACGGCAACTACGGTAACTACCAGAACTACAAGCGCGACGAGAGCTCCTCCAGCACCACGAGCTCCGCCGCCAGCACTACCACCACCACTGCCCCCGCCAGCTACGGCGACTACGGCAACTACGGCACCTACGGGAACTATGGCTCGTACAAGCGGGAGGAGGAGCCCGCCGCCAAGGAGGCAGAGGACGCCTCTTCCGCGACCTCGACCGCCACGGCGAGCGCCACCACCGCCCCGGCCGGCTACGGGGACTACGGAAACTACGGCAACTACGGCAACTATGGGACCTACCAGAACTACTAGATTCTGACGTTTCAAGGCCATGAAAGAAAGAAAGGGGGGGGACATGAACCTAATGATTGTGTAAAGTTGCTCTTTCGGAAGAGGACAAGATGGGTGTGACGTGACAAGGGCCCGGGAACAATGACACGACCCTCCGGGTGTACGCCGTACTTGTATGTGTACTCATCGGGAACAGGAGGTCAATCCTGGTAATGTGGATCGCAGATGCTCGGTCTTTTTTCTTTTTTTCTGTATTTAGCTTAGATTCGTGAGCATTGAATATTGAACCTTGATAATACGATCCAAGTACTGTGTCTTTTCTGATTGTCGGCTGCCGATGGTCAGTGCTGCCGGCATTGATGGTGTCACGTGGTTTGAGTATTAGTTAGGCGTACCATGCTGCTAGCTTACGTTTGCTTCCTTCACCGCATGATGCATCAGCCTCATGATTCTATTTTTGTGATGGAGGTCAGCTCAAGCTGGTCAAAGTTTGTTGTGCTGGTCCACGGTACTTGTTGTGTGTTGGAACATGACTGGGGTTTGCGAGTACAACAGATATATATTTGGAAGGTAAGCGGGCAAGCCGCCGGACGCACCGAACAGCTTGCCTGAATCGTACAGTCTAGCACCTCGACAATAAACCTAATAATATGAGGATATCATCTGCCTCAACAATCAACATGGGATAAGCCTCGCTGGAATGTGCTGTGACAGGTTTGGAGACAAAAAGTAAAAAAAAAAAAAAAAGCAAGTCGTGCAATGAGACAAGCAGCACAAGCTTTCCGGTGTTCACCGTGTGACAAGCTTCCGTGCGAAAGTCAAGCAAACATGATCATGATGAGTAAGAAGACAGATTTACGCAGATGATCCAAGATTTCAACCCGCCGATCTGGAATCGAAATTGGGGAACTGTGCCAGCAGAATGTAAGTTACAGCACAGTGTGCCACTTTTGTGTGGCCGGCAATTGGGTCGTCAGGGCCGCTTCCGTTCCCCGCTTCCCCATATTATAGGCTCGAGGGAAGGGGGTATTCCTTGGTTCAATGGGTTGCGTGGATCCTGAGTTCGCCACTCTTCCTGTCCGTGTCGCGCAGAGCTGGGTTACTGCCATGTGTAGCAAGAGATGTAGGTTTCCATCGGATTGTTCGAGTGCTTGGCTGATTGAACTACTTATTCGAAATGTACGGAGTAGAGTCAGGAATTGTGCTGCCATAACCTAAGGCCCATCAGAACACATCGGCTAAACTCCGACCGCGATCGGGGTGGCTCGCGGTCAGCTGACCCGCACCAGGCGGTTGTCTTCCGTTTTAGACGGGACGGGATTCTGCCGCCTTTTTACAGTCAGGTAGCTCTTACCGCCTTCAGATAGACCTGGCTGCTGAAATCACGCGCAACGCGCTATTGGTTTGGACTATATGAACCTGGAATTGATATTTTTGAATTTGGTTGAAGTGTAGAAGATGACCTGTTAAGTATTTAGTCGAGCACAAAAGAAGGCTGCTACCATTTACCTATACTGTGTAACGGACAGTTGCCTGCAATGCGCTCAGCAGAATCATCAGTTTTCGGTTGATTTCTTGGATATATTATATTGACTCATGGGATCACTATAATCACTGTAGTGAATATAGTAGACCACTGGCCTTCAGTCTCAATGATCTCCTCCTCCAGACCACTTCCAGCCTGAGGTGATTCCCTGGCGGCAGGAACAATGATGACTCGAAATCTCACCGAGAGAGGGAAACGAGAAGGATGTATACCCAGCCATTGGCCCTATCGGCTGAGTACGCAGTTGCAAAGCTTAGCTCTGTTCAGAGTCTGCTGAGGCTATCATCTAGACCCGGAAGCTATCCGAAGTTCTCCACTAGATGCTTTCTAAGCGCGGTGAGGCCGCGTCACTGCACTTTAAACTAGCACACATTGGTACCTAGATGCAGTATCTATTCTGTATCTGGGGAATCTCATTGGCCTCACTAAGATATCGTAGCATCTCACGCACATCCAGGCTGGGTACTAGTCACCCAGATCGAGCCTCCCGGTCATCAAAAGTCATTAGTAGTTACTCCCGGAGCTGGAATGCGAATTGGTGTGGTTAGGCAGCCGTATTAGTATCATTTGCTGTCTTTAGTAGCGGAGTGTTGGACTGGAATAAGGGTATGTTATACCCCGTCTCCTTCAGGTTTATTCCATCCTCACTCCAGCTCCGCATCATTACGTCTTGTTCGCTACCATTAGTTCGGCCATTTTCCGCACGCATGTAAGAAAGCAGCCGGCCATGATCCCGATATCAAACATCTTGTCAGTGGCGCTAAGCTTGCAAATTTGCAGAAACTCCTGAATCGATATGGATCTACTCCAGCTTGCTTGCATTTGTGTTCTCGACCTCTGCGCCCTATACCACCGCTACACCGACGGACACTGGTCGAGACCGGCACTCTCCTGTGTGGCGTTCACGCATGTCGGTCTATTGATCCATGTCTTGCTGGAGACGCTGAAACAACATATGAGGTGATGACTTCACCAATTCACCATCAAAAGCCATTTCACTGTGAGGGCCGGGCTCGAGATCTGGGAGTACTTGGCCGGGGTCATCCAGGCCAAGTCCGACGCCAATTCCTCCACTTTGACCTATGGGGCGGATGTAGGTCGGTCGAAGGTACTGGGGTATGCGTCCAAGGCGACCTGTCAACCACGGCGACCTGTCAACCACGGCGAAAGGTGCGTGACGATGCTGCATGACTGTGGCACCGCTGTTGGATGCTGTGAGTTTTGACATGGAGGCACATGGCACGTTCATCTGTGCGGGAGTGCGGAAGCAAGTGTTTACCCTCTGCATTCGGTGAATTGTTGAGTTTGATAGACTGTGGGTATGTGGTATCTAGCACACTTTCTCAAGAGTAGCCTGATCACCATTGTTCTTACTGATTTGAAATTATCCTTTGTTTCTATCTTCGAGTCTCTGCTATCCTGCACCCCATAGGGACGCAACACTGGTTCTCACGCATCACGAATGAAACGAACAGCATGTATGCTAGCTACTCCGTGGCAATGGAGGGCTTACATGATTTGATCAATACATACGTAATATGTACAGCATCACACATTGTCGATGCCCCCGCAGAAGAAATCATCTGTATACTGCCATATGAGGCTTTAATCTGATTAGTATGTCTGACTGGTTGATCCACTTTCTCTCATTGATTCAGGGTTGAGTGGGCTGGAGTGGGTCTTATTCCTGAATGACAGGTTTGTCCTCCAATCACCGAACGCTGCCGAGTAGGGAGCAGCTGCAACGCCATCCGTGGAAGTCAGTAGTAAAGTATGCACCATCGTCACTCTCCTCTTTTTGGCAGGAGGAATAAAGAAATCTAGAGGACCGAGTACTCCATCAATCGTCATGATACCGACCTTGAACGGGTCGGACCCGGAATGGAAGCCTGATCGGCGACCGGTGGAGTCGATCCAGATTGCAGTCGCCGGGTCAGAGCTGCTGATCTTGCTGTAGCAAAACTCACTCTTGACAAACTACCCCACTGGGTTGTCTCTATCCCACATGGTTTCAATCGAAGGGCTAATCATATAAGATCAAAAAAAACCAAAGGCAATGACTTCAGATCATGTTGTGTCAGTCTCTTTTTTCTTGTTTGTTCTAATACTCTGGTTCAAAGAAAGTCTTTCGAGATCTATCTTCTGCATGAGAGAATTACATAAAGACTTTCTCTGAGTTAGGAAATACTATAAGTAGTCTAGAAAACATCTTAGGTAATAAATCGTCTACCAATTATCAATGAAAATCAATGAAAAGGGCCTCAACCTCTATTATTCTTAGTGAGGTTAGTTGAATACTACGGAGTAAAACATCTTCGAATTTTGGACATGAAAGAGAAAAAGCAATGACAGGCCCGATCTCGCCGACTCGCCGAGCGACAGCAAGACCTCGTATTTCCCCGTCCCCACCCAATCACCCAAGAGGTACGGAGTAATTAAGACTTGAGTGGCCGCGAGAGCGGCATCGGAGTCCGCCGCGGGGAAAGCCGAGCGCCATCCAGGCTAGTAAGACTAGACCACATCCCATCCCCAGGAATCATCGTCCAGCTGCAGAGACTGAGCTGTGACTTGGTGACCACAGGCGGGAGAGGGGAAAGATGACTCGATCGGCAATGGTAGCTTGCCCATAGCGCATCATCTACTCTGGATCTGCACGGAATGGTTGGTTCATGCACATGGTTCGTCTCCACCGCCGGGGTCGGAGAGCAACACATTTTTTGGGCAAGGATTAAGGGAATCATCGTCTCTCAGCTGGCCCCGGTGCGCCTGTGAGTCGATCGCTCATTTAAATACATTGGCGCCCGTACGTGAGTCGCAATGATGACTCTTTGCTTTTTTCTCTCTCTTCCTTTTGCTTTTCTTTCCGTTTTTCCTAGTAGATATATCGATCGGTACATCCCCCGTAGACCTCGGTAGCAACCTGCATTCACCCCTTGCTGCGTACGCGCATTAGACTATGGTCGTGGATGGTGAGCTCCCTTCTCCCCCCTCAGCAGCCACCGCAAAATATTGCGATCGTCTTTCTGTCTCCTGCGATCGCAACCCACTGACCACCTTTCTCCTCTTTTTCCCATGACTGCAGAAAAGCAACCCGTGGACAACGGCGACCTGACGCCGGAGCCCTCGCAATATGGCCCCGTCAACGAGCGCAAGCTCATGGCTAAGATCGACTGGCATGTGGTGCCGTGCCTGTGTCTGATGTATCTCCTGGCGTTTTTGGATCGGTAAAGAACCCCCCCCCCTTTTGTGCGCGCGCATGCTCGTTGCTCTCTAACACCAAGGAATCGCGCAGTGTCAACATCAGTAACGCGGCGGTCCTGGGCCTCGAAAGCGACCTCCACATCACGACGGGCACGAAATACAACACCGCCCTGACGATCTTTTTCGTCCCGTACATCATCTTCGAGATTCCGTCCAATGTGTTAATGAAGAAGTTGAAGCCGCATACATGGCGTACGTTAACTCTAAAACACCACGGATATCTACTTGCGCCACGGAGTGCTGACGCGATGTTTTCTTCTGGGGTATAGTCTCGCTGTGTATGTTCGGTTTCGGCCTCGTGATGGTATGCCAGGGTTTCGTGCAGAATTGGGGGGGATTGATGGCCACGCGCTGGTTTCTGGGCATGTTCGAGACGGGATTGTTTCCTGGGTGTGAGTTTCTCTCTCGCGCGGGCTTTTTCTTTTTCATACTGATCTCCCGGCTCAAATAGGCTTCTATCTCCTGGGAATGTGGTACAAGCGCAGCGAGGCGCAGAAGCGGTTTAGCTTCTTCTTCAGCTCGACGACGCTGGCCGGCGCGTTTGGCGGGCTGCTGGCGAGCGGCCTGGGCAAGATGGACGGGGTGCGCGGGCTGGCGGGCTGGCGGTGGGTGTTCATCATCGAGGGGATCATCACCTGTGTCGTCGCCATGGGCTGCTTCTTCGTCGTGCCGGACTTCCCCGAGGACGTCAAGTGGCTCACCCCCGAGGAACGGGAGTTCCTGCGCGACAAGCTGGCGCAGGACGCGGGCAAGTCGGCAGTCGATGTGAAGACGGGCTGGCGCGATATCCTGGCCGTGTTCAAGGATTGTATGTGCTTCCTCGGAGGGATGATTTCTGCGTGTGCGGTGCAACTGACTGGACGACCTGCAGACAAGATCTTCATCGGTGGATGGATGTATTTCGGCCAGGTGGTCACGGCTTACGGTATGTCTTATCCTAGTGTTCTTGGATGGGGACTCTGTCACTAATATGTGCTGCGCGCAGGATACGCGTACTTCGCGCCGACCATCATTAAGACGTTTGGCTACGGAGGTATGTTGTCATGTTATCCCCACCATCTACACCAGCATGCACATGCGCTGACCCCACCACCGTGTGTGTAGCCATCAAGACCCAGTTCTACTCCATCCCCCCCTGGGCCGCCGCGTTCGGCTTCTCGATGTGCATCGCCTACTTGTCCGATCGCTTCCAGCACCGCTTCCTCTTCACCCTGCTGCCCATGCTGGTCGCCATGGCCGGGTTCGGCATCCTCATCAACATCCACAGCACCTCGCAGCACCACATCCAGTACGGGGCGCTCTTCCTGGTGACGAGCGGCTGCTACAGCGCCATGCCCGTGCTCGTGTGCTGGTTCGCCATGAACCTGGGCGGTCACCGGCGCCGCAGTGTGGGAACCGCCTGGCAGATTGGATTCGGCAATAGTGCGTGTCCCTTCTCCCTATACCCCCCCCTCAGATATACCGCCAACAGGTCAGTACTAACCCTAATGGCCATGAACAGTCGGCGGCATCATCTCCACCTACTCCTTCCTATCGAAGGACGCCCCCTTCTACCGCAACGGCTACATCATCGGCGTCTCCTTCCTGGCCTTCTCGGCCGCCATGTCCTGCCTGTACTTCCTGGCCATCTGGCACGACAACCGCAAACGCGACCGGGCCATTGCGGAGGGCACGGTCGATCTGAACGCCATCTCAGAGGCCGAGGAGGAGTATATGGGTGATATGGCGCCGACGTATCGGTATGCCTATTGATCTGCGCTCGAGTATTAGTTATGGGGGCCTTGCCTTTGGATGAATTTTTTGGTTTCCTGTGTTGCCAATAATAATGAGGAGGGGTTGGAGGCATGAGAGCGGGCCGATGTCGGCGTGTATGATTCATGAATGAAAGATTAGACTTGACTGGCTTTGCTTGCTTTAGCTGTTTTGGGGATAAAAGGGCGGAGATTGCCGATGTGTAGGGGAATGTGCTCACCGGGGGCGGGTCAGCTTGGACCGAGGTCCGGGATGGGGCGGAGTTATGCGCTTATGCGGTGAAGCTCTCATGCAGCTGACTCACCACGGGAGTTATGCATGCATCAACACGTGAGAGTGTCGGATTGTGGGCTCCCAACTGTTATGCAACGAGATAGATTGTTGGGTGGAGAGTAAAGTTTGTAGGATGACTTGTGCTGCAATGTACATGCTGGCTTGCGTTCTGGTGTCAGATAATCTGCATATTATCCAGCAAGGTAAGAACCGAGTGTTCACTGTCAGGAATCCATAGGGACAGTACGGAAAACATGAATAGCTTGGTAATGATTTCAGCGGGATATATCTGACTAAATTGCCCACCGTATGAGTGTCCAGACAGTACAGCCGTTGGAGATCATCAATGACCCCATTGCGAGTCGCCATCCTGCAGCGCGATGGCGAATTCAGCTTGTCCGGGAATGCCGGTAAATGTCATACAACCTTTGACCTCGCTTAAATCCCCTGATGCATATGGTGGGAACCTTCTACAGGCTTGCCCGGGACCTGCAGGTCAGAGTTTTGAATCAAGTGATGGATAGGGGTAAGAGCTAGGACAACCGAATCTGTGTCGATTGACTCGTCAGGTCCAAAGATCTGTTGCGGCACCCCCAAGCCGACACCCAGGCATTCAGCGGAACAAGTCATACCCCGTCTAATGGGTTGCGGAAGAGTCAAATCTTATCTTATCGATTGGATGCATTGGCGCTGGATAAGCAGCGCAACAGGTTCTGCACGACCAAGCGACCTCGTCCCGAAGCCCTCATTGCGGGAGGATATCGCGTAATCGCGGCTAGCGATGGTACAATGCACGGCCACGTCAAATCAGAACCATATTAGGATGCCTGCGGTTGTATATCGTGCAGAAGCGAGGTGTTAGCTTCTGCGTAGTTTACCGTGAGCAATGAGGAAAAAGTGATGCTGGATGATGCCATTTCATGAACAGCTGGCAGGCGCGAAGGACATCTCCATCCACTGTAGCAGCGGTATACTCACACGGAAACAAATATAAACCACGCGACGACGCGGGCATTCCGATGTAAACCTTCCACAACACCAAGCAAGCACCTTGTACATACCCTCCGGCCGCCATGGCCTCCATCCTCCTCCTCCTGGCCGCCGCAGCCTCCGCCGTCCTCGCCGATGGCCAATACCGCTCGCGTCCGGACCTCTCCCCGCCCCAGCTGAACGTCACCGTCGAGGCCCCCGACGCCAACGGCACCGAGTACGTGTTCGTCGCACCGTACGGAGGGTCCCTCGCGCAGCCGGGCGCCTACATCTACCGCAAGAACGGCGACCTGATCTGGTCCGGCATCGGCTACTACGCGGGCTTCGTGGGCAACTTCCACCGCACCACGTACAACGAGCAGCCCGTGCTGCAGGCCTTCCAGGGGACCATTGATAACACCCATGGTGAAGGCTGGGGGTATCAGGTGCTCTTGGATCAGAACTACCAGCACGTCGCCACGGCCAAGGCGGCCCACCACCGCATCCCCTCCATCCACGAGTTCAATGTCATCGACGGGAAGACCGCGTTGGTGGAGGTGTACACGCCCACGCCCTGGAACCTGTCGGCGTACGGGGGCAATGCGTCGCAGCAGTGGATTGGGGATGGGTATTTCCAGGGTATGTCCTTTCAGTGCAGCCTGATGAGAGACGAGTAGACTGGAGTAACACCGCTGCGCAGAATTCGACATCGCAACCGGCGACCTGATCTTCGAATGGAACGCGCTCGACCACATCGATCCAGCTGGTACGTATCCCCGACCTTTCTCTTCCGTCATACCAAACACCAACTAACCCAGACCCAAACAGAAAGCCTGATCTCCCTGGCCTCCGCGGCGGCCGACAGCGCCCTCACCGCCTCGACGAGCTGGGACTTCATCCACATCAACAGCGTCGACAAAGACCGCGAGGGCAACTACCTCGTCTCGTCCCGACACCTCTCGACCATCTTCAAGGTAAACGGCACCGACGGCCGCATCCTCTGGCGACTCAGCTATTCCAACCCCTCCACCTTCACTCTGCCCACCGGCTTCGCCTTCGGCTTCCAGCACCACGCCCGCTGGCACGCCCAGTCCGCAACCAAAGAAACCATCTCCTTCTTCGACAACTCCAACGCCGGCACGGGACTAGTGTACAACAACGTCTCGCGCGCGCTCGTCGTGGAACTCGACCTCCGAACCAAGACAGCGACGGTGCTGCGCGAGGCGCCCGCGCCGTACGGCATCAGCGCGGCCTCGCAGGGCGACGCGCAGCTCCTGGACGACGGGCGCGTCTTCGTGAACTGGGGGTCGGCGGGCGCAATCACGGAGTTTGATGCCGACGACGAGGTGGTGTATCATGCGTGGATCGCCGAGGAGGGGATGAGTTACCGTGGGCTTCTGGGCAATTGGACGGGGACCCCCGCGGAGGAGCCGGCCATCGTGGCGTACCTGGATGGTAGTGCTAAGCGGGATGCGTTGAGGGTGTATGTGTCCTGGAATGGGGATACGGAGACGGTCGGGTGGCGGTTTTATGGGCTCGGTCTGGGGACCGGGAGGAATGCCACGACCTCCGGGCCGGTGTTTCTGGGCCAGGTGGAGAGGAGTTCGTTTGAGACGGTTTTGGTCACGGATCGGGTCGGGGTGGCTGCGTCCACGGGCAGGGTTTATGCTGTCGCGGTGGGGAAGGAGGGGGGTGTCTTGGGACGGACGAGGGCGGTGCGTGTGCAGGAGTGGGTGGCCTTGGGTTGAGGGTGGTGTTCTGGTGAAATTTGGTAATTTGAGGCAAAGTCTTGAGATGTCGTGTCATGATTGATGAGAGTGTGAGATGATACTTGTATGGCTTAGGATTTCAGATATCGGACTATACTGCTGGCTTCTTTTTCTGTGTCTTTGGACACGCCTTTTCATACTCGACCACCACTTTATCCGTCCGGTGGATCTGTCCCATTGCGCAATCTCTGTTTTGTACCTGTCCATTTGGTAGAATGTTGTCCTCACTGCCATTTTCCAGAGTCCCGATGTTGGTCGTCAGCAGCTCATCGTGCGTGAGCATGTAGTTCATCGGCTTTCTGAACCGGCGGTTGCGCGAAGTGGCGAGCTCGATCGCGTGGCCCTTGTAGTACCGCTGGTAGGAACTCCACGAGCGCCGGCCGCGGACCATCTCGTAGAGTGGGCCGAGGGTCGGGATGCACGAGGCCATGATAATCACGTTCGATTCGATGCTGAGTTAGGGAAGATGCTTAGTCCTGCCATACATGCACTGATGCGTGAGGGTGGGCTTACCTGGTCCAGATGACGAGGTCGGCGGTTGCATCTAGGTCGTTTTAGGCAAGAAATAGTCCCTGTTTCGAAATTTGTACTTACACGTCGAGTCCGTCGTGTTATAAAGCCCAGGGAGCTGGTTACACTTGACGATGGCCATTGCACACGCACTGCCCGCGTGATGAGCAACGTTAGCTTGTCCACAGAGAAAGAGGTGTTTCCAACTCACATGGCGCCGAATCCCAGCGCTGCACATAGGGCGATCTTCTTTTTGAGCGTCATTTGCAGCGACGAGAGAACGACCGTGGGATATACCGCTAGATAGAGGTCGACACAGGCTGAGACAACTATATCGGAATTGTAAGTGTGGCGGACGTTTGCAGCACTAAGACGGGTTGGGGAGTATACCTCCAGTGAATATCGCATAGTCCACCAGCACGACTTGCGGCCGGCACGTTGCACCGTGGCTTAACAGCTGTGTCTTCCATAAAGCCTGCGGCGGGTCGCACATGGTGAACAGCACAATGATGCAGATACTCGATGTCACGAACACCGTCCCTGTCAACGCCCACATGAAGACCTGGTGGAAGCGCCCGGGGTTCAGGATTCGGTTCAACAGTGCAGCAATGGCCAGTTTGGGAATGGAAAATGACATGATTCCCAGCGCGAAGTTGATGTAATTGAGCAGCAGCACTTGTTCCAGTCGATCCATGCCTCCTTGCTCGACGATGGCGGCCGTGTGCTTGCCGTAGCCCCGGGCCACGACGACAGTGGTAAGGGTTGTGTACCCCGCGAGGATGAGCTGGCATACTCGAGAGTCATGGCTTATGGATTGGGAAGGCCTCATTGAGCTTGCGATAGGAGTTCAACCCACCCTCATCTGAAGATTGAGTTTGTTGTGCGAGGAGAAATGTGCACGCGTGTGGGTGTAAAAGCAGACAGGGAATCGAGCTGCGAGGGAAAGGACGCTTTCCTGGTCCGCGTCCTAAGTTAATTGTGTTATCCCTGATAGGTTTAAGTCCATAGACCGAAACCATGTTTGCTTTGCTAGGTGGTGTGCGTTGCATTTGATTGCAATCATACGTTGGAGATGCTCCTTTGTCGCTGACTGGTCGCCTCGTCCGGCTAATCTTAATATGGCGCTGTCAGCGACCAGCGAAGGCCGGTCCTCCGGCTAGTGTGCTGTCTCGATATCAAAGGCTGCTGCCGTTGAGCCGAGCCCGGTGGGCCGAACGGGAGGATTTAATCTCAGATCCTAGTCGAGTTTCCACCCGGTTCAGCCGATACACTTCTAGAGCCAGACTACGTCCAGTCCGTTGTGAACTAAGGATTTAACCCTTACTAGTAAAAAGACTACCTAGCTGGCATGTGACATCTCCCCTGTAGGCAGAGCATTTCTGACTACTGATTGAGCCGTCTGCATGGTTCCCCGCCTGTCATATCGATGTGGTTAGGACTAGTTCAGGGGAAGCGTCAGTGTCAACCTGAGCCCTACCCCGACATGGCCGTGCTTATATGCCCGTGCCTGTCTACGCGTCTTTGGTCTTACTCCGTTTTGCAATTGCTTTCCATACCCAGCCTTATTCTACCTTTGTACACATACCAGCTCTCACCATGCCACACAAGAACGGTGCCCTCAACAAGGAGACCGATGTGGCGCAGCTTGCCATTTCCCCAAACCTGCCTGCCCACATCCCCTTGCTCCTGAGCCAGATCCATGCCCAAGGGAAGGCATACCTCGACGCAAACCCCCAAACACGGATAGACTTGCTCGAGAGCACCCGAGCCCTCGTGTATGCACTCGAAACCCCCCGGGAGGCGATACTCAGACACTGCTGGTCCGAGGTACGTGCAACACGCACCCTGATCCACCGCGCACAATACTCGAAAGCATTGACATTGTATACTCGGGTCTAGACAACCAGCTACGCCGCCATCGAGACCGGAATCAACGTCGGTCTCTTCACGGCGCTCGGCATGACCGACCAAGCCACGACCGTCGCCCAGCTCGCCAAAACCACAAATGTCGACCCGGTCCTTCTCGGTGCGTTGCCCACATCCCCCCTATGTCCCAGCACAACCCACCCCCACCTAACCGTTTATCACAGGTCGCCTAACCAAACACCTCGCCGCAATGGGCGTCCTCCTCGAAACCGGCAAAGACTCCTACCAACCCACGGGCTTCTCCAAAACCCTAACCGAGCAAAAATACAGCGACGCCTTTCCGCTCATGTACACCCTGCCCAGCCCCACCCCTCACCCCCATGACCCCTACTGATGATCACACCCCGTAACAGGACCACCCGCTTCACGCAAGGCTTCCTCGCCCTCCCAGCCTTCCTCGCCCAAACCCACTACGCCAACCCCACCAGCCCCACCGAAACCGCCTTCCAACTCGGCCACCGCACCAGCCTCAACTTCTTCGAGCACGTCCAGCGCGAGCCCGACACCGCCCGCCGCTTCAACAACCACATGGGCGTGTACGCGCAGGGCCGGCCACGCTGGATGGATCCGGGCTTCTACCCGGTGCAGCGGCAGCTGGTCGAGGGGGCCGTCCCCGCCATCGGGGAGGAGGGCGTGTTGCTGGTCGACGTCGGCGGGAGCTTCGGGCATGATCTCCTCGACTTCCGCCGGAAGTGGCCCGATGTGCCGGGTCGGTTGGTGCTGCAGGATCTGCCGGAGGTGGTGGCGTCCGTGCCGGGGGAGGTGCGGGAGCTGGGGATTGAGGCGATGGGGTATGATTTCTTTACGGCGCAGCCTGTTATCGGTGAGTTGGCTCCTTTGGTTCCTTTTGCCGGATGAGGGCGGGGGGAGGAGGGTGATATCGGGGTGGTGGTATGTACCGTACCGTACTAACCGTGAGGAACAGGCGCCCGCGCATACTATCTGCATTCGATCCTGCACGACTGGCCGGATGATCTCTGCCGGAGGATTCTGGCGAATCTGACGGCCGCCATGACGCCGGGGTACAGTAAGCTGCTCATCAATGAGAATGTCATCCCGGATACGGGGGCGTATTGGGAGACGACGAGTTTGGATTTCATCATGATGAGTATTGGGTCTGGGGAGCGGACGGAGAGTCAGTGGCGGGGGTTGTTGGAGGGGGCGGGGTTGAAGGTGGTCAAGATCTGGGCGGCGCAGCGCGGCGTTGAGAGTTTGATTGAGTGTGAGTTGGTCTGATTGTGTTACCAGCAGGGGAATGTAGTGGGTTTGGGGAGGGTTGATGTTGATTGTGCTCGGGGTGGGGAGTTTAGGGCTGGCGCATGTGAAACATCTATCTATGTACTGTGCTTGCGACTCAGGAGACCAGCTGTGGAGTTTTATAGGAGTTGAAGATGCGTCAATCAATGTACCAAGTGCATTCATCATGGCTTGAAAGAACCTCGAGCTGAATGGTCCATAATCAGGGGGGATGCTACACCCCAGCCTGCGCGCGTCTCTGCTCCCGCCGCCAGAACTGCTGCAACACCACCAGCATCAACAACATGCACACATCCAACGCAATCGTCCAATTGTACCCGATCAGATACCGCGGCGCATCCACCGTCTTCCACACCCTATTTTCCACATTAGCCAGGACTTCCATAATACGAATCGGGGCCACCCTGAAGGCACACCCAGGATACTCACAGCAACGGAATCCACGCCCCAAACGTATTCCCCACCGTGTTCATCGCGCTGATCACCAACGCGCGCTCCTCCGCGCTGCGAGCGCAGATCTCATTCGCCCACGCATAGATGATCGCCGCGATCCCATCCGCCGTGCCCGACAGGAAGAACGCAAAGAACTTCAGGCCGACCGGCACGCGCCAGATCGCCAGCACCACACAGGCGAAGATGTTCAGTCCCGCCGTCGTCGCGATCAGCGCCACCTTCACGTCGTAGATGTCCGACAGCACGCCGCACAGGATCGACGAGACGATCGTCACCGCCGGCGAGACGGTGGTGATTGTGTTGATGCTCTCGACCGAGTAGCGCTCGGCCTTCAGCCACAGCGAGAGGCCGCTGTTCGAGGAGACGCCGTCCGCTTGGGAGAAGAAGGAGGCGAAGCCCACTAGCACCCAGAGCCGCCAGCCCTTAAGGATGGTGAGGATGCGCGGGAGGGTGAAGGGCTGGCGCGGTTGGCGGTGTTCGGCGGCCATGCGGGCTTGTGCCAGGTGGATTTCTTCCGGGGTCAGGAAGCGGGATTTGCATTTGTCGGGCGTGCTGGGGAGGAGGCACAGGCCGAGGAAGGCGATGGGGATGGTGCATGCGAAGCCTGGGGTGGTGGTTAGGATTGGGGCGAGCAAGGCTATGCGGGCTCTGGATCAGGGTAGGGGTCGGGGCTTACAGATGATGTACAGCCAGCGCCAGCCCTCGATCCCATACCGCCCGTTGAGTCGGGCGTAGGCGCCCGCTTGAATATACCCCGAGCTCATGCTGCCCACTTGACTGGCGATGAAGAAGATGGCTCCGCGGCGCGCCAGTTCAGACCGCTTGTACCAGCAGCCCAGATACCATTGGACGGCGGGGAAGAAGAAGCCGCCTAGGGCACCGACGAAGAAGCGTAGGGCGTACAGCTGCGTGACGCTGGTCGCTTTGTATTGTGCCAAAGTGAACACGCCCCAAAGAAGATCAGCGACGGGCAGGAAGTAGTTCACGGGGAAGCGCGTCATCTACCAGAGCGTGTCAATGACTTGATTCTCTCAATCCCGAATAGAGGGAATCTGGTGGAACGCACCGCCAATGTTAAGGGGATCTGCATCGTGATAAACCCGACCCTTGGAGCTATTAGAATGGTGGTGATCGAACCATCGGCAAAGCACGTACATGTACACGGTATTCAGGTAGTTCAGCTGGTTGCCGTACATCTTCAAGTCCTCCCTCATACCACTGACATAGGCGGTACTCGTGGCGGACGAGTCGAGCACTTTAGCCCAGTAGGCTAGGAAGACAAACACGATGATGAGGCCGTCCAGTTTGAGAATGAGGCGACGCTCGGCCGGTGTGTCGGTAGGCGCAAACCACTGGTACCATTTCTGACGCTGCTCAGATAATGGTTGCTGAGACTGTGCATCTTTGGTGTCAGCTTCGGGAATGCGGGCTTCCACAGTCCGAGGCGCCTTCTCGATGGAGGCGCTCATGTTAGGGCTGGTGGAAATAGCGCTAGTTTCGGATTTCGAGAGTACAGGCTGGCGTAGAGAGACTACCCTCCATTTTTGCAGACAAGCGTGTAGATATTTGTTCAACCCTGAAGCACGCCACTTTTAGCGTGAATGGCGAGTAGTGGCAGGGATTCACCCCACCATTCAAAAGCTGATAGAGTTGCGTGCCTCGTGGGCTGGATGTCTTGGCGACGCTATACTAGCCGCCCCGAAATCGGGTGATTTGGTCCCTAGCCGAGCGAGACGAGCTCGGCTATTTCCTCGGGAATTCTGTTCCTATGCCACCATCACATGGTAATCAAAGCCTGAATAGGTAATTTAGTCAAGATGAAAATGGAATACAGGAACATGAATGATCATAAAGGCTTCCAGGCGGAAGGGCATAATCAAACTCCTGTGTCGGCAATGCTTGATAATCTTGGCACGCGTCTTATTGCCTTGTCTACCTTGGCGACGAGCCTTTAGCGATATTATAGGTGTCGAAAATGGTGGCGGATCTAGTCAAACCATTGTGGCTGACTGCGTATCAAAGGTACTTTTTGTCTAGTGATCTGATGCTCATAGTGGATCATAGGTCGAGACTCGATGTGACTCAGTCACCTGTGCCCGGAATGAAAATCGTGTTAGCACCCGTGCGCGTGCAGGTGTTCGTGCAGACCATCTGCCCCTTCCGAAGGTTGTAGACCCGATCGTTGGTGTGTTGGCGCATGCAACTGTGCGTGCGGATGCAGGTGCGGACCTCCCTACCAATGCTAGCTTCCTTCTTACATAAAAGTCCAACATGCAGTCTATATACTAGGACCTTTTCGTAAATACTACGACCTACAAATGACAGAGAAACATAATTATCAATAAAAGTGGATCTCCTGCTAGCCCAATCGCGCTAGAGGCTTCCTCAGCCACCTGGATTGCTGCAAGTGCGGTTGCAGAGCATCACAAACCACCCTCAACAGGAATGATGTATCGAATTCACCAATAGCAGTTTTCAGACAAGTTATAAGCGCGCTCATGACCTGTCTTCTCTAGCACCCACAACTCTCGCTTTGAGAGTCCACACCCCCTCCTCCGGCCTCTGCACGATCATCTCGCGAGTAAATGCCATCCTCTCGGGAGGCGTGTCGCAGAGCTCCAGATCAAAGCGACACACGATTGTGGCTAGCGTTGTGTAGATCTCCGCATAGGATAGACTACAAAGGGAGAGATATTCGTCAGCATCCGGCCAATATATTATACTGCATTTACAACAGATCAGCCAAGAAACCTTACTTGATCCCAACACAGGCTCTCGTGCCTCTTGTGAAAGGTACCAGATACTTTGAAAGATTCGCACCCCTCTCACTCGCAGTGATCCACCGTTCTGGATCGAAAGATTCGGGATTTGGAAAGATTTCAGGATTTCGGTGCAGGAAGTAGCTGCTCGTGCTCATCGGGGTCTAAAGGATTTGCCTTGAGTAACGATACGTGGTCGCACAGGGGACCCATGCATCAGCACTCACACCGGGAGGTATCGCACAGCCATTGTAATGCAAGGTCTCGTGTGGGGCCACTCGCGAGGGACGCATTGCAACCGCACCTAGTCGAAGCGATTCATTCACCACGGCCGCCTGTCCAAGAATGTGTGAGGCGATTATACAGAAAGTGAAAGTCCCATGGAACGGGAACGCACCAAGTATGGCAGCCGCTCGACCTGAGGCCAAGGGACTCTGCCATCGGATCGTGACACAATCGTCTCCACTTCCTCGCGCAGCCGAAAGAACCTCTCCTTGTCGCGCAGCAAATGATACATTGCAAACGTCAGAGTGGCCGCGGTGGTTTCTGTACCTCCAATTAGCAAGATAAAGCTTTCATCGCGCAACCGAGCCAGCGATCGCTCCGCCACAGGCACAGCGGGGTCCGTCAAACATCCATAAATTGTACGCAGCCTCTCCCTGCTGTTCGATTGCAGGCATTCCTCAGACTGCCGCGCAATACGATCTTGCATTTCATAGACAGCCGCGAGCTTGGGCTTCACCGAGCGAATCCACCGACCGGGCAAGGCTTTCAAGATCCTCGGCAGCAGTGGCCAGAACTGGAAGAGATGGCAGGTGTCCGTGATCTCGGCCACTGCGTGCCAGATGCCGTTGTTCGCGAAATGCTTGGACGCCAGACAGCCGGTGTCCTGGCCGTACAGGTAGTGCGTGATGATATCGCCTGTGAGCGCCACAAATGCGTCGCTCAGGTTGATCACTGTCATCTCTTTGGCGGCCATGGTGAGATGCTCACAGAGAAGATCGACCTTTTCGTAGATGACAGGCATCAAGGCGCCGACACTTTTCTTGGAGAAGAATGGGTTGAGCTGATTGCGGCGAGACCGGTGGAGGTCGTGGTCGACCGTCGCTAGCGCGGCATGGGGCGAGGCGAGGAATGCCACCATCTGCGGGTCCTTGTCTCGTCGCCTGCCTGCCCCCGCATAGATCTCGTCATAGAAGGCAAAATCGACGATGTGGACTTCTCGTGGGTTGATCCGCACGATAGGTCCTGGAGAAATCCGTGAGCCTGAGTCGCCTCAAGGGAGAATGCCACTGACCATATTTCTCGTGCATTCTCTTGACTTCCCAGATGAACTTGCCGCCTCGGACAACGTCGTAGTAGAACTCATGGAGATGTGTCATGGCGGCCAACTTTGGTCCAGGGACCGACCTTAGGGGATGGAAATACAGACGGTAAAGATATTTTGTTACAACGAACAAGAACACGGTGGTGAGAGTAAGGGTCCACATCTTGGGATGAGCAATGTCAGGGGATTTGATAGTCACTCTCTGGCGGGTCAAGAGATCGGAGAATGCGCAGGTCTGGATGCTACTTATAATTTTCTTTTTTCCACCAGAACGGAACTTGGTTTCCTTATGGACTGCTGGATCGCGCTGTATGCTACCATCGACTCACGGGTTTACGTCAATGGAGTAAGCTAGTTTTCACTTTCAGCTAATGCATGATCTATGCTAGAGGCACCTGCAGCTCGATGCAGCTACACCTTTGGGGTTAGAACTTGGTTCAAAATCGTAAATACCACTTTCCGAACCCGAGATGCTAACCCATCGCAAGGGGCTTGTAATCTCTAACCATTCATGGCTAAGCATCCATATCCCTCCCTCCCAATGAACATCGCTGCGCATTCAGTTATCTGACTTACGACCCTGGGCATTGTCTTGGGAAAGAAACGCTGAATTATAAATTCAATACCAGCCTCAATGCCCTCGGGACAGAGAATCACTCTCTCTTCCTGACAACACTGTCTCAGCCCACCTCTAACCTTCCCATCCCCTCGAGCCAATATTCCTACTATGACGAAAAGCCAGGAGAGTCCTTCGCTTATGACCCGATTACAGGGCCAGACATTGATCATCCCAGATCTGCTAGCACGAGTCTACGCGGACTGGGATGTCGACAGACATTCTCATGAGTTGGATGTTCGAACCAACATAGAAGAATATTTCCTAAACCGGTGACGAGACCCAACCTCGCTTCCCCTCACTAGCTTTTATTGTCTATGGGCATGGTGCTGATACAACTATACCCGCCAGCTGGTGCCCAGATCGCACGAAACGCCAACAACTGATCAAAAGCAATTCGGCCATGTTAGCCGGATACTTCTGGTCCGGCAGTGATGTGGAAAGATTCCTTCCCCTGGCCAAGTTCATGTATTGGGTAAGGAAGTCGACCAGCGTGGCCCTTGTCCTGGAATACCTGAACACTAACGCAGACTGCTACAATAGTTTTTTCTCTGGGACGATGGTACCCAACGGCCTCAGCCTTGCTTGCCCTTCTAAACCACGCACTGATACCTTACCTAGAGATTGATTGCGGTCGACTTGCGAACGATGCCAAAGGCACACAAGCTTACCGCGAAAGCACCCTCGCGTTCCTGAAACGTACATTAGAGCCAAAGATGCTTGAGCCTGGTCCGAGCTATGATGCGGCGGACCATAATAGTGGGTGTTTTGAGGAAATATCCCCCGCCCTGCGATCGGGGACCACAGTTGGTATGTGTGGCCCATGCATCCGCCGAGATGTTAATATACGGTACTTGCTATTGACCTACGAACTTTAGAATCACTCCGCAGGTTCGCAGATTCCCTCTATGAATACGTGGACTCGGTGTGCGTCGTCCAAGAAACCCGCGAGGAGCGGTTACCCAGCCTGGGTTGCTATTTCGCGAACCGAGAGTTGTCGATCGGAGCGTACCCTTGTATCATGGCGATGGAGTGAGTGTACCCCACTTCAGATGCTTCTGGTAAAGGGGATTTCTTATCAAAACCAGGATTGCATATGACGTTCGGGTCCCGCATTGGATCTATGAGGATTCGCACATGAGAACCATGTTTCGCGAAACGGCCATCTCCTGCATCATGTCAGTACCACGCATGCCATGGTCTGCTTTCACTCGGCCGCAGCTAACAGAGATTTAGCGTTAATGATATTATCTCGCTGCGGAAAGAGCTGGTTAGTATAGTCTCATTGGGCCCATGAAGGAAAAAATGTGTAACTAATCAGATCGCGTCAGATGGCGGGTCAACTCGACAGTGTCATCCCACTGAAGATGCTGCATGATCCTTCTCTGAGTGCGCAAGACGCTACGAACGCGGCATGCGAAGATTTGATCCAATCGAAAAGAGTCTTCCAGGAAGCCGAGTCCTCATTGTCGGACAGTGACGCGTTCAGACAGCTGAGCGCGGCCACCAAGGCTGACGTTCGCACGCTCCTCACGGGATGCAAGAATATGATGGTGGGCAACGTGAAGTGGTCGTAAGTCCCGTTCCACTCGAGGTTCTGCCAGCTCTCACAATTCTAACCGGTTACTTCGGAGCATAGACTCGCGAATGACCGGTATCTTTCTCGGAAGGATTCCCAAGATCGCGCCGTTCGACTCCACCTATGATACCGTCCCCGCGCCCATTGTGTGTTTCTCCATTGGTACTTTATCTTGTTGTAGGAAGGAGGGGCATTCGGGAAACCTTGGTCCTCTATCTAGCTCGCGTTATCGATTGGTAAAGCATGGAAGTTATCTGTTAATCTACAATGAAGGCTTTCATCTTTTGGTATGTTATATGTACTGTAGATAGAAGTCCCTGGAAGTTTCTCGTATCGTACGAAGACGGGAATCGCGGGAATGCGGGCAGGGATAGGATAGGGCCAGAGGGAGACAAATGAGCCAAATTGACTACTCGTAATCGCGCTCATACTCACCTTCTCCAGCACGAACGAAATGTAGGGGATCTGCTGGATGAAAATTGTTGCACTAGCGAGACTAGTAAAATAATGGATGTCAGATTGCCGATCTTCTCCCTGCGCTAGTCCGCGCCTGCATCCGCACCGCCTGTACCCTAACCCCACCTCCACCCGCATCTACAGCCGCATCACACAAGCAGCGGTGAGCATCTGCATCCAGTGAAGAAGAGGGTGGCTCAATCTCGGTATCTTTGGGATGATTACCGGATCGGCTCGAGAAGCATACACGCCCACCTACCAGGTGAGAAACGCAGCTTGGAAGTGGAAGTAAGGGCTAAACTCCGTCCCTCCAAGCCTAAGACCGAGCCAGATCCATGAGCCCCACTTTTGAATGCAAGATAACGTCCTTGTGATTTGCGAAAGATAAGCCATCTCCTCAGTCGCAAGGCATTGACCCGCAACCCGGCCGACAGCTACGAGCCCTCGATTCTGATTCTTGTACACTGCTCCGTATCCCATCGCTGAAGAAGACACAAAAGCATTGTGTGTCTGCTCAAGACATTTCGCAGTATGGCCCCGACCCAAGCAGAAGTTTCGTCATCTCCCGTGGTCTGTTTGGCCTGCAAAGCAGGCAAGAGGCAATGTGACAAGTTGACCCCTACATGCTCGCGTTGCAAGAAGTACGTATCGGCTATGGTATACTTGATCTGCTTTTGACGGCAGGCTCATTGATCGATGGGTTCTAGACTCGACCGAAAGTGCACATACCTCTGGACGACGCCTCCAGTGTCTGCGGCTGCCCGTGCGGATGTAGTACCCTCGGTGCGGGAGACCGCGCCCTGTGCTTGTGTGAGATGCAGTGCTCAAAAAAGGAAATGCGATCGACTCATCCCTGGGTGTTCCCGCTGTCTGAGGTGAGTACCTTAGTCCGTCGCCAGGGGGCAACGGTTGGTCTTGCTGACCCTACACCACACATGGCGAGGCTGCGCCTGAGCCTAGGCTCGGAGCGTGGAATATATTGTACATGACAGACTGACATCGGTCTGAACCTACAGACTTGGCCTCGGCTGCTTCTACAATTCCCATTCCACCGACTCCACGCGTGCGAGAGGAAGTCACCGAACAAGGCAAGACGTGCGCAGCGGCCTAGGGCAACCTCAGCATGGCCCTAGCATCCCGACGGAAGCGCCCGTCCCGGTCCAAGGCTATATGCCGACCCTGTTGAAGTTTTGTAAGTCCTACCTTCAAGTGTCTGCAGTAGGCGTAGCCCTATTCCCAACCTGGGGCTACAAAAGGCAGTGAGAGACTTACGAGATTCGCCCCGGTGGGTCCCAGTCTGCACCTCTGTCGCCATCCCCGCCGATGTAGCCAAGCCCGATAGCATGGCCGTGCATCTGAGCTCCGAGTGGATGCGCAATGCCACGGCAAACGCATCCTTGTTCCACGCCACGCTCTTCAGCGCCTCCGCGTCTATCGATATCCTGCGGGGCACCAGGAACAACCGAGTCACGCTGTACCATCAAACCTGCGCCATCCGGCTTCTGAATCAGACCCTCAATAAAGACACGGCTGAGCTCAATTATGCCGCGATCGGGACGGTGGTCCCTTTGATCTTCTATAATGTACGTTTCGCCGCGCCAGCCGCCATTCCCTATTGTGTTGACTGACTCGACCCCCCTTGTCTCATGTGGGGGGCCTGTAGATGGTCGCCTTGGATATCGACTCGGCGGTTGCGCATCAGAAAGGGCTAAGCATGATGCTCTTTTCACTTCCGATGGCGAGGCGGGATGAGCTCGGACCACTGCTGGGGGTAATCAAACTGTGAGGCTGAAGCGCTCAAAAAGGCCCTTCCACAACTCTCATATGCACCAGACCTAATGATCTCGATCTCTTAGGGCACTGCTCTCCTTCTCCTGTATCTTCGACGTCCCGCCCGCCTGGGACTGTCTGACATTCCCCGACGTCCGCCCGCATTCCATACTCCGGTCCGTGATCGCCAGCCTGACCCAACACAGCAATACTGGCTCAATCTTCACTCCGGCAACCGTCGAGAAAATCCTCGACATCTACGCGGCCATTTCCCAGCTGCAGGCAATAGCAGACCACCCGACCCTGGAGGACGCCACCGCAGCAGAGATCAACCAGATGCGCCAACTTCTCCAGACCCTTGATCCTCTCCCCGCCCAGAAGGCACCACAGCCCACCACCGCACCATCTCCCACCAGCAGTGGGGACAAGCTCAACGTGTGTTGCAGCCTTGCCACATCAATCCTCTCGCGACTCCTGCGTGCGGACGCCCCGATGGATAAGGAAAGCACGCTCCAGGCAGAGCTCACTCAACTCACCCAACGAATCACCGAGATCGACGCGGCGTTCTGGATCCGACGGGCGCCGGAAACGTTGACCTGGCTCATCTTCACGGGGGCGGCCACCGCCCCTACTAGCCTGGACCGCGGGCGGTTGATTCTGTACGGGGGGACGGTCCTCACCGCGGTGGACTCAGAGAAATTGGTGCTCGTCAGGCAGGGATGGGTGTATTTTGGCCTGTTGAGGAATATTCGGCGATTGCGTCAGATTTATGCGTAGGCGTTGGTCTTTCGGCCCGCGTCGTGGGTATCGGCGGGGATGTGGATGAGTCGCGTGTTGGGGGTTTCTCCTCGGCAACGGGCTGCACTATTGGGATATGGGGCAGGTTGAAAGACAGCTAGGATCGACACGTGGCCATTCAATAATTACTGAAGAAGCAAGTTTTGGGGTATGTACTTGATCTGTCCTGGTCGAAGGACTGTTCGAGATTAAGCACAATCTGGTAGTGTGTTCATTGTGCGCAGCATCGGGATCACATTATCAGTATCATTCTGATGCAGAACAATCATAGTTTTGCTGCAGTGAACAGGAAGCAAGTATCAAGACACGGTGCCGTCTGTCGCGGTCCTGAGCAGTCCGAGCATGTGATCCAAGGCGGTTTACCGGACTATTCCACAGTTTGATATTTTGGCTAGCTCATCAACCAACCAACCACCGGACAATTCAAGATATGATTCCATATCGCCCGTTCCTCAGCTTCATCAACATGCTACAAGCTATAAGCCCGGGGCTTCTAAGGGCTCTAGGACAATCCCTTAGATGGCTCAGACTAAATGACCTGCTTCTAAATGAGACTCTCGGTCCGCTCAGGAGGTCATCGATATGATCTTGTAAATGCTTCTCTTCAGCCGGATAAGCAAGGATCTGGTTCGCACGTAGACCCTGTTTGAATGCTGTTCCGTCACCGCGGAGTCAAAGCTAATCTGATTTCGATTTAGGCAAGTGACACTGGGGCATTCTGCTAGTCTGTGATTCTACGAATCAGAGCATAAAAGCTGTTGAATCTGTGTGGGTTGTTGAAGATGAATCTAGAATAATATATAATAGATATGGTTTTTGGTCATCTGTGTTACCAAACTGTACAACGAAAAATCACAGGATTCACCTGATAGATTCAGCATCATTATATAGAGCTGTGTATCATATAATTTAACCTCAGATATTCTCATAGTTCAAGTAGGTTAAGTTCAATTTACAGGCATGCGCATTGGCCTTAGCCACAACCAGCCACTGGGCTCTACTTCCTCATTGGCTGGTAGCTTAATCCGAGCCAGTTTCTAAGTTCTCCATAAAACTGCCTGGTCACGTGTTCTTGATGCCTCAGGCTAGAACGCTATGTTCGATATACTGTACCACCCATCCATTTATTCCGAGAAACGAATAGCTATACAGTCAATACACTGCGCAAGAATCATCAGCAAAAGAAGTGCTTGCCTGATGAGCTTGGTGGCCGTACCCTTCCCAATTGTGCTCATTCTGGTTTGCATAAGCATAGAGATTACATAATAATGCAGACGTGAAGGTGGACTAGGGTGTAGGCAGCGAAAAGCAGCTTTCTGAAGTGAGAGGACAGGGTATGACTCAATCCTCATCCTGAACATCAAAGCCACACTTCATAGACACAGAAGAGAGGGCAGGTGTTTCGGATAGGGCGGTGATGCAATGACGTCGACATGTGGTATGGATAACATCTCCCCGCGCCCGGGAAAATTGAATTGAGACCCGGTATTCGCTCAAACGCAACCATAACACTTGACCGGTGATGCAATGCGCACACGAGCGCTAGGGGACGCAAAAAAACCCCATGAACTCGGCCACGGGCTCATCGGCAACACCACCACCACCATAATGCAGCAATGGGAAACGAAGCTTACACCGATCTGCTGATAATCGGCGCCGGCCCGGCCGGGCTGATGGCAGCCTGCTGGGCGGCGCAGTTTCAAATGCAGACGCGGATCATCGACCAGAAGCCCGGGCGGACGCCGACAGGCCACGCGGACGGGCTGCAGAGTCGCACGCTGGAGATCCTGGACAGCTTCGGGATCGTCGATCCCATCCTGCGGAAGTCGGTGCGGCATACGGAGATGGCGTACTGGGTGAGTACTGTCGCAGCATCTGTAGCTGGGCTGCGGGGGGGCTGATTAAAAGGCTTTAGGCGATCAACGAGAGCACAGGACACATCGAGCGGCGCAAACGGACCCCGTCATTGCCCGGAAGCTCGGTGTATGATCAGCGGCTGCTGAACCAGGGCGCTACGGAGCAGGTCTTCCTCGACTATCTCCACGAGATGGGGGTGCAGGTTGATTACGGGACCAGAGCACGGGAATTGACACTGTCGGAGTCCAATTCCGAGACGGATCACAAAGTGGCCGTCGAGGTCGTGTCGGGTAAGGCGCAGGGTAAGCTTTTCTCGGGGAGGGACCTTATCTTTCGTGCATTGGAACGTGGCTTA